AGTCAGTTTTCACAATTATGTAGCATTTGACATGGTTCCTTCGAGATAATTTACTTCTTGGTTTTCAGGCATTTTCGGGTTCTGATCGTGCAATCTCAAGAGTAGCCAAATTATCAGGGAACACTGCATTGGATGCCGCGCTAAATGCGCAGTTTTTGGTCCAGATTGGAATCTTTACTGCCGTCCCTATGGTTATGGGTTTCATACTTGAGCTTGGGTTGTTGAAGGTTAGTTAAATCAATTCTTCCTGTTTTCTTTTGGACTAAATAGTTACCATTACTGTTTATGGCTTTGAGAATGCGTGCTCTTCAATTGAAGTTTCCTGCAGCATAATGTTCTTTTTAATATCGCAGGCAATTTTCAGCTTTATCACGATGCAGTTCCAGTTGTGTTCTGTCTTCTTCACTTTTTCTCTCGGTACAAGGACTCATTACTTTGGACGTACTATCCTTCATGGTGGCGCAAAGGTATAATAACTTGCATACATGGCACTGAACATTATTATTCTTTCCTTGTTCTTTCTTCTAAAATTTCCATGTGTTTGCTCTTTATTTTATCAACAGTACCGGGCGACAGGCAGAGGCTTCGTGGTTCAGCACATCAAGTTTGCAGATAATTACAGACTTTATTCGAGAAGTCATTTTGTGAAAGCGTAAGTCCAGATGTTAATCAGTTACTTATTATTCTAAAGTCAAATAGCTTTTATCATCTGGATGCTCAGGGTTCCTGTATCTTTGTGCAGTCTTGAAGTAGCTCTACTGCTCATCATCTACATTGCTTATGGGTATGCGGACGGGGGTGCCCTTTCGTTCGTTTTGCTAACGATCAGCAGTTGGTTCCTTGTGATCTCCTGGTTGTTCGCACCATACATCTTCAACCCATCTGGATTTGAATGGCAAAAGTGAGTATTGTAACTGATCCTTTCTCTTCATTCCATTTGCATATATATAGCCACTTATATTGAATAGCATTATATAGTGACCTTTAATTACTCATGTCTGATATAGGACTGTTGAGGATTTTGATGACTGGGTGAGTTGGCTTATGTACAAAGGTGGAGTGGGAGTAAAGGGAGAGCTCAGTTGGGAGTCTTGGTGGGAGGAAGAACAGGTTTGTCCAGCATTTTGAGTTTCGATTTATCATTAAGGCCATATTAGTTAGTTTATGTTAAATATTTGAGTTGCTTTGCAGATGCATATCCAAACATTAAGAGGAAGGATATTGGAGACCATTTTGAGCTTGAGATTCTTCATGTTTCAATATGGCATTGTGTACAAGCTCGATCTCACTGGCAAAAACACATCGCTTGTGGTAAAGTTTGCTTTTTGGCTTGTATCCTTGTGTAATTCAGTTAAATCGGAATTGCTTTATCATGGAAAAAGCTGCAGCATATGGTATTGCATTGCTTTGTATTGCAAGAGAGTTCTTGGCTGATTTTCCAT